AATAAGAACAGCTGTGTGAATTCATCACCACAGCATACACCTTCTGTGATGTAAAGTACCAGAGCTTGGCTGAAGAGAATGTGAATTTATATCTGGCCAATATTAGACCCATCCTTTTCAAGTACAATCTCTTGCTCTTATAAAACACTCTGTGCAAGTATAAAGTGGGAAGAATTTCCTCAGCTGCAACAAACAGTACAACTTAGTTGTGGAAAGGTCTTTGTTTAAAACATCCAATTTACATATCCAATCTTTTCACTCTGTGAACGCTGCAAGTTTTCCAGTAGAAAAGATACCAATACACAGCAATTCTAAGCCCAGAGGCAGAGTTAACCCATCTTCAACACCCAGAAACCTATTTTGGTCTAGCTCTGCTTCAGCACTTCACCTCTTCACCAGAAGAGACAACACAACTGCAAAACTTAAGATTACATGGAGCACTGCAGGGAAGACTCAAACTGCCTACAACTTCAGGGTACACCTACCTGGCAGAAGACTAGTAACTCAGGTGCAAACTCAAACTTCCACCTTAGCATAAATAAACAGATATCAGAATGGGCTGTCTGATAATTGAAAGAAATAATGCCTCTTTGGAATAACATCCTGAATCCAGATATATGCCCTATGCAACACAGATACAGCAATGAACATTCAGTTAACCAGTCAATCAAGAAAAGGAAGGATTAAAAAGCCATTTTGTGTTTAGCTGGCAAAGGAACAATGGGGATCCAGTATACAGTGGTTCCTACATGCTCTACCAATATGCCATTCTAACTTGTGTCAACATGCTATTTGTCAGCTGTCTCAAGTCTTCCCAATTCCTGACAAAAAAAAAAATAAAATCCACACAAATACAGGAGGGATCCCCAGATCTTCTAACAACATGTCCCCTAGTCTTCCTAGGGAAAAGTTTACCCTTCCAATTACAGAAGAGCTTGTTTAGTCTTCAGAATCAGTGGACATTGGAAGATGGGCAGGAGGTGCAGAGCAATCTACATGAACCTTCTGATTCAGCTTAGCGTTCCTGATTTGCTCTTAGCAAAGTGCTAACACCAGATGTCAAGGGTTAGGGCTAGGCACAAAACAAATGACATGCTCTCTACTAACACCCTTCCCCTCTGAAAGAGGAAGTGAAAAAGGACTAAGGCGGAGAGACTTATGTATTGGAAAGCTAAAACAGCTTCAATGAAACAGTAATAGTACTACTAAGAAAATAATGGAATATATACAAAACCAGTATGAAATCCACCCACCTCCACCTCTGATGGCAATCACCACTGACATTGCAGAGCAGGCTAGCACTGCAGAAGTTCCATAGCTGGACTCAGAGTCATAAGAACCACATTCAGCAGCTGGATT